GGATGGATCCTCAGGTACACACTGTAATTGGCTTTTAAACCAGAGAGATTTCTGGCCACCGTGCAGCCAGCTTCTACTCCAGATGCAGCCGCTGCTGTGGAAACCTAAAGACTAGAAAAAATTGCTGGTCCCAACAGTATGTTTTTCCGAGTGGATGTGAGGGAGAAGGCATTTACTTGGGTGCCCTCATCTGCAAGTCATTACAGATAATTAGTTGGTGTTTTTAGTTTAAACCAATAACTGATTGTTTTTAAATTAACTTTTACTGTAAATATATTGGCTAAATAACTTCAAAACCATCTTAAGTTTTTTCACCTTTACATTATTGACATACGCTTGACTTCAGTCACCGCTTGACCAAGGACCATATCATGGCATTACAAACCGCCCTGTAACGCGAGGCCTCACGGTGTTCTTGGAGGGGGCCGTGACTTGCAAAGCCCCGGCAGCCGTCCTGGTGTCCCCTCCTCCAGGGAGGGATTCACCCACCCCGACTGTTCTGGGCTTGCTGCATGTGCTGAGCATATGGTCCATAAGCCATGCAACCGCAAAAGAGTTGCTTTCCTTGACCTATCCCAAAGCTTACTGTAGTTAGATATAAACTTTTTGCTCTTTGTTCCGTTCCCCTCTCCCATACCAGTTCCTGTAGCTGATGCTGAGAAACTCTTTTCAAAGGCGTCACATCGCACTCCCGCATTTCATAGATGATGTCCTTAGATTTCATGAAAAGGCTGCAAGAAACCGGATATTTGATTTTTTTTCTCTTTTTTTTTTTTTTTGGGGGGGGGGTGAGCTACGCACAAAGAGTCTATTAGGTGCGTTCAAATCAAAATTGCAGTGTCTGGGATTTATTAGTTTCTTCTAACACTTCACTAAAATCACTGCTGATAAAACATCTCGTTTGTATTTTTCAGGCGTTGCTTTTCTTCCAGCTAGTATCTCTTATCTCATTGGGACTAATCTTTTTGGGATACTCGCACACAAAATGGGAAGGTATGCTTAATTTAAAAATGCTAATAATCTTCCAGTCTGTTCGTGTACCATTTCCAGTGTTTCCCAGGGCAGTGTATCGATGGCGGAAATTATTAAAGTTTGTTCTATAGTAGCAAAATTGCTTTTTTGAACATGTTGCTACTTTGGTTGTGCAACTCGACACTTCAGACGTGACTTGGAAATATTTAAGATCAGTTCTAACATCTCAGTATCACCCATCTCTGAGTGATGTTTCTTCCTTGATAGGTGGCTTTGTGCTTTACTCGGGATGCTAATCGTGGGAATAAGTATTTTATGCGTAAGTAGAAGATCATGTATCTTTCAAACCATCTAAATGTTCTTGTGTTCATCTTCAAATATGTGCTTTCCCCATGAGATTCTGCTGAAGTTTCTGCTTTATGATATGTTATTAAACAATGTGTAGTTAATAGCTTCCAGATCAGAGTGCTGAGTGCTTTCACATTTCGGTGCTCTAATTATTTTAAGGAAGAATGGCTCTGAAAGGAGGAGGATGATCCTTTTTTTGAGCTGTTGCTCAACAGTTTATTCTTGCTCATAATAGTAAGTCAGTGGTTTAATGGCACAGTTATCTGAAACGGTAGCCCAGAACAAGGATCAAACTCGTAAGTCTCACATGTGTACAAAGCGTGCCATAACTGCTTGGAGAATTTATCTCAGAAAAAGAAAACTAACCTCATTAGCATGTGCAGCATGATGTAATTAACTGCCTGAAACTTTCTTTATAGGTACCGTTTGCTAAAAACATTTATGGGCTCATAGCACCAAATTTTGGAGTTGGATTTGCCATTGGTAAGAAAAACTACAATGACTTCTTGTAGTCTGTTGTTTATGTAAAAATGACTTTATATGAAGTTACGTGGAAAATCAGTGTTGTTGCCGTTCTGATCTGACAGTAGTGAAGCCTGAGCTGCGGCCCAAACTGGTACGCAGAGCAAGAAGGATTAAAGGACGGTGTCAGGCAGTTTGAACCAGGCTGCTGTTAGATAAGCTGGATTCTGAAGTCTGTCCACAATTGCTCCAAGGACCTAAACAGATCTTTCAAGCTGTCCGTGAATGCACACTATACATTGTTTTCAGAAATAAAGCCATGCACTGCCCAAAACCCACAGAAAATACTTTATATAGATTTTTTCATAAAAAAAAAGACAGGCTTAAATTTTTGTTTATCTAATAGGAATTCCCAAGCCCATGGGCATATACTCTTCTTTGAGTAGTACATGTGAACTTTGCTTATGCTGGACCACGCAGTCAGGCTGGGGTGGGGACCATGGCTTCGTTTTTAGTGCTTGGCTGGTCAGCAGATGTTCTGGGGCATCCTCATTCATGAGGGAGGTGTAGTTAGGAAAGAAGTTACAGACACAACTACAAACCCCAGTATCTCAGTAGTTTTGTCAGCTGTCTCGTGCTGTTTCTTGCTAGCAATGAAAGTGTGGCTTAAAAGACGTGTTAAAACCAATGTAATAATTTTGATTGACCGGAGGCTAATGCAATCTTTTAGGCCTACAGTAAGTGTAAGTAAGTTCACACCAAATGACTTTTCCGTAAGTGAGAGCCACTTGGCAGGCAACGTGAGATGGAGGCCTTTGCACGGACAGTTGTTGGGAAGTGGTTGACAGGCTCTAAGCTCGCATCTCTTTTGTCCTCTGGCAAGTGTCACGTGTACGCATTTATACATGTCCATGACCTCAGACACAATAAAGAACATAAAAAGCACAGATAATACAGTCTATTTTTACACAAAACTGTTGCTTATTGAAGCATCCTTGTAGTTGCTTTTGCATCCCTTTTTAGCACATAGTTGACCAAGACATTAAGGGGGGGGGAGAAAAAGGCAGTATTTTTCTGAAATATCTTTCCCTCCCTTACAACCAGGAATGGTGGACTCCTCCATGATGCCAATTATGGGTTACCTTGTAGATCTGCGTCATGTATCAGTCTATGGTAGCGTGTACGCAATAGCTGATGTTGCTTTTTGCATGGGCTTCGCCATAGGTAAGTCCAGCCTTTTCCTGCCTGTGATGCACAGTTAAGAAAAGAGAATATGCTACAATGCCAGGTGTGAATCCCAGTGGCATTCGCAGGCTTTATGAGCAGGGATTATTTTCTACGTGAAATCAAAGCAGAGAAAATTGTGTTTGGCATCTGTTCCCCTTCTCTGCCACGATGCCGTGCTCAGCTTCATTAGTTGTAAGAGGCTTGAAGGTGTCAGGCACTGACCACCAATAGGATATCCCTAGGAGAGAGGCCTTGGAACATTTAAAATTACCATCACAGCTGTGCTCCTAATAGTCTGTGAGGGGAGTAACTCCCACTGACCCTCTGCCTGCTTGAGTGCGTGGTACAGATGCCCCTATAGCACCTCTAATTTCTTCAATGAATGTGGAGTATGGAGCCAGGAAAGGTTTATGTTATAATTACAAACATGTCTTTACATTCCTCAAATCAATTTGTAAAGCAGGAGTTTAGTATATAAAATTACTGTTGTTTGAAGTGACTGCTGTAAATTTTGTGTCTGAGGAATCTTCAGAAAAGGGTTTTTATTTGTACAAGGTCCCTCTGCTGGTGGTGCCATTGCAAAGGCCATTGGATTTCCATGGCTCATGACAATTATAGGGATTGTGGATATCCTCTTCGCCCCCCTGTGCTTTTTCCTTCGAAGTCCACCTGCCAAAGAGGAGAAAATGGTAAGCACAACATGATTTCTTTCAGTTTTGTGTTTGGGGTTGTTTTGGTTGGTTGGTTGGTTGTTTTTTTTCTCTTTGAGTTAATGTGAAAGTCTCCTTTCCCCAAGGCCTGGACTGACCTGGTCCGCTGAATGCTTATTCCATGAGTTCTGCCCTAGGACATCCATGAATGTGCCTGCAGGAATATTTCACTCCTATTGCTCACCGTTGGCTTAGCTTGTCACTCAAAAAAAAAAAAAAAAAAAAAGATTCCTGCTTTTTGATTGTGCAGTCCTTTTCCTTCATTCCCCCTCCTATACCACACTCCTCTCTCCCTTCCATTCCCTTTTCTGTAGCCCAATTTGCCCTTTCATGTAACATCCTTTATCTGCTCCCCTACTCTGCTGTTGCAAGACTTGCTGTTCCTATAGATTTATCCTGGATCAGGTTCAAAAGCCCTCTTACTGCAGGAGGGGACCCACTGCATTGCTCACTAGGTTTCCTCTGCTCAGCAAGGCAATGGGAAGCTCCCAGAGGAATTAGAGTTAAAGGCGGTGCAGTCAGTAGGCAAAACAATCCCTGTTGGGATTCCAGGGCTGGGAAAATCCTGGAAAATAAGTCCCAATCTTTGCTGCAACATCTGTCACCAGCTGTAGGTCTAGCCCACCCAGTGCTCCATCCTTGGTCGTGCTGAACAAGGTTGACTTGGGTCCAATATGTGATGTCTAGTTGTTTGTTCGGGTGAAAAGATGTAACTTCTGCATGGCCATGGTTTTACTATGCAGCATCACATCTCTGCGAGGTAAGGCCAGAACCTGTGTATGCTGTGTATGCTGCTCATGCTTTGTACTACCATGAGCAGAACAGAAAGTGGAAAAATGAATCTTGCTGAAATAGTGGTGTACGTGAGGCCAGAGACCTTTTCTTTTGCACATATTTGGACTGCAGCATCCCAGAGATTCCAGTTAATCCCTTGTCGTGACCTTTGCAGACTGCACCGATTTTTTTATTTATTTTATTTTTTTACATTTACTAAGGCTGAGGAACAGAAAGAGAAAAGAAAAAAAAGCTGCTGCTGTTTGCCAGAGATAGGAAGTTCATCATGCACTGCCCTGGTCACTGACAGGGTTTCACTTGTAACATCAAGCAATCACTGAAGGGACAGGACCTCTCCCCACGGCTTAAACACCTTCCACTGTCTGTCCCCACCCCCCCAAATGTACCTTTAAATGCCAAGTGACTCCTGTTCCCAAAGAGGCTTGTGTCAGTGAACTGGTGTGCCACGTCTTTCGGGGTTGAAGAGAGTCAAAAGGAGAGTCCCTACCTTGTGCTCCTTGCCTGATTAATTAAAACAACAACTTAAATCACATTCTGTGTGAAATACGCTACACAACTGCTCCGAGTCCAGACTCCCATTGTCCTAGGAAAAATTCATCCCAAAGAACGGAACGCTGTAGCTGGCTCTGACTCCGCTAATCACTTTTAGCTTGCCAGGGCTGTCACACCACAGTATTTGGACCAGCCGCTCGGCAGAGCCCGGCTGTGCTGCCCTGGGCCCCCACAGAAAGGCACAGGAAAAGAAAAGCCAGTAAGGGATGCTCAGTCCTCCTGCTTATTCATCCAGCCTTTAATAAATAGAGATTAAATATAGGAGAGAGAAATTACTTAACTGGAGAGCAGGGGGCTGTATTTCAATTTAATACATGGGCTGAAATACTGGTAACAGAAAGTTGCTGGCAACGTGTTTAGGGCCAAGATCCCACCTCACTCGGACCTATAGACTTGATTTACTCCAACTGAAAGCAGTCTGGGCTCTACTTCCAGGAAGGAGAGGCGCATCCCTGAATGGTGGATGCAGCCGGATGGCTTTGCGGTGGAGGCAACCACGGACCTCAGCTGGTCGCTGAGCAGAAATGCTAACGTTCACGCTCTGTTTCCATGTAGGCAATACTCATGGATCACAACTGTCCGGTGAAGACAAAAATGTACACCCAGAACAACATCCAGTCCTACCCCATAGGTGATGAAGAAGAAGAATATGAAAGCGATGAATAACACAAAAAGCCATATAACATTTTGGTGTACGAAATGCAGTGTTTCATGTGAAACATCTCATCCAGAAATAGTTTTTAGTTGTACTGTACATTTAATAGTGAAATGGTCAAAAAAAAACCCCAAAGGTGTATTATTCATCACCCATGGTTATAAAGCAGACTGCTAACCGCCTTAGAAGGGGGGGAAAGCTTTTATAGAGGATTTGTATAGCATTAATCTTTATTTTGTGTATTTAATTTTATTGAATATTATACTATATTTTTTATTAAATGTGTAGCATAAATCTGTATAAACTTGTGAATTTTAACTATTTGTTTTTTAAAGTCAACTCATTGACATACAATATTTCATATTTTATTTGAAGTCATGAGTTCCTGTCAGGAGCTCGGGTCTTTCTTACCTAAGTGGAAGGGGAAAGAAAAAAAAGCAGCAAAGCTCAAAGAAAACCTATCCAATTCAATTGTAGCCTTAAGTGCACTGAGATGAGCTGAAGGATGGAATTCAGGACATCGCTATCACTGATTTGATCAACTTTAGGTCATAAGTTAGTAAAATAAAAGGCACAACTTCTTTGCCACTTAAAAAAAATGAGCTCT